AAATGTTCTAAAACATGTTATTAATAATAAAAAGTGTACAATTTACCAAGTGATGGGTGTACTCTTGTACGGATATAGAACCCTTTGTATGCCCGGAAGGACCTACACCAAGACCACTAGTCTCCGACAACTCGGTTCGGCGATGCTCGCTCCGAACGAGCCTCGTGATCGGATCTCACAAAATCTATTTGCTACACATCCTAGACCTCCTCATTAATATAAGTAGGTTGTTTGTTTATCAAACTACGTTTGTAGATGAAGTTAGCATAGTGTTTTTTGGCCACAACCTCCCATCCGCTCCGACAAGTGCCTCGATGGCCATATTCTAGTCAAAATATTACTACTCGAACAAAAAAATTAATATTAACAATTTTATTTAATGAAAAAATTTTATTTTAATTATAAAGAAAATTGATAATACGTTATTTGAAATTCACTCGAAATAGAATTGTTTTGTGACGTCGGTGACACACTTTTAGGATGATCTATTAATGTCTAACCACTCCTTAAAAATCATAAATATCTTCACACAATAATCTATATTAGGCGAGTGAAACTCTCAAACAAAAAAAAAAAAAAAGAAATATTAAAAAAGACAGGAATTATTGAAATTAAATATTAAAGTAAAAAAATAATTTCATATTGTCCTCGAGCCATAGAAATACATCACCGATTGGAGAAGCTATAGAAACTTTCCGGAATGTTAAACATGCGAGCAAAGGGGTGACTCTCGAAGGAGTCAAATTCGCCATGATGTACCCACTCATAACATCCCAACACAAAATCCTTACTACGAAATGATATTTTACAATTTCAACCTCCTCATAATTTCTATTTCGACACTTATTATAATTATGAGGACACCTAATTTTGGTTTTATCCATTTATTCGGGATGCTTAACGACAAAAGCTAAAAATTGCTCTACGACTCTAATAAACTCAACATTTAAGAACTCGTCAATTAACCTAACATTCATCCATTATCGATCAAATCTCATTTTTGTAATTACTGCAAAATTAAACGCATATATATATATATATATATATATATATATATATATATATATATATATATATATATAAGTTATGTAATTAATAGTACTAGTTATGAATTTTGTTTTAGGAATTAGAATTTATATTTAATTAATTGTTTAAAGAAAGTTCTAGAATTTTTTTCTATTTTTTATTCTTAAATTCTTAATTTTATAATATTTTATGATTTATTGTGTAATTTTATTTTTTTACATTTTCTACCTTAGGTTGAATAATAACCCTAACCTAAACCAAACATTTTCTTTCAATTTCAATACCAATTTCTCATCTAATTTCATTCAATTATACCTTAACATCAAGAACTAACTCAATTAGGCATTCATTGATCAATTACATGCATAAACTCCAAATTGGGCCTTATTGGGGCTAAACCCTAATGTAGGTAATTTAAGCTAATTTTTCAATTTCAATGTAATTTCTCATTCTAACTTATCTCATCATACTAGTATTAATTGAAGTATTAATTAGAAGTCAATTACACCTAAACCCTAATTTATTCCCAATTTAGGCCAAATGTGGCCTAAGATATCTAGATAAAATTCTTCAATTTTTGCAAAATTTTCCACTCTCATTCATCAATTCACACTTAACTAACTTCTAATTAACCAATAGTTCATTAACTAAACAAAACAAATCAAACCCTAATTTTACCAACTTTGGGTAGAATGGGTTCCTAAGGGATTAAGTAAAAATTTAACATTTTAACTTCAATTATATGAAATTTTATCTATATCGAAGCTAAAAATATTTATGTTTATTAAATTTTCCTAATTAATTTAATAATAAATACAACTAAATTTAATTTAATTAATCCTAAATAAAATATTTATTAAATTCTATTAATTAATAAAATGTTTATTCCAATTTTTTTATTTTTCTAACGATTAAAGCATTATGCATGTTATCTTCTTTCAATTTTAATAATTAAATTATAATGATTACTTGTACAATTTATATTCGAAATAACCATAAATAAAATCAATTACATTAATTTAATTTAAACCAATTAATCTAGTAACTAATTCAAATGAGACACAATATCACAAATTAACAACAAATTTTAAAAAAAATTAACCAACCAATAAATTAAATATATATTAAGAAATAATCAGCAAAATTTAACAAAAGTACGTACAAAATTATATAATTTAAACATTAACTTAAAGCAAACAACTAACAAAATTCACCTAATAATTAACATAAATAAATAATTAATTAATTAACAAACTTAAAATAAGAATTAAAGATTAAATAATTAAAATTTAACCTAAAAATTAAAAAAAAAATTAACAATAAAGCAACCTTAACTAAATTTCATAAACAATTACGAGTAATAAAATTAAACCTAAAAATTAAACATAATTAAAATATTTTAGGTTAAAATTAACCTAAAAAATAACATAATTAAAAAGTAGTACTTAACAAAATTAATCTAACAATTAAGAAAATTAATTAAATAAATAATAAATTTACACTAATAATTAACATACAAATTAACATAATTAATAATTAACATAACAATAAAATTAAAAACATTCAAAAAATTAATCAACTAACAAAAAAACAATTAACCTAAAAATTTATAATATTCATTTAATTTAGAAAAACAAAAGAATTAGAGAGAGAAAGTTTTACCAAAGAGATCAATGAGAGAGAGCAAAGATTTCATCGGATTTTGAGGGAGAAAGATGCACCTCACCGAGTTGAATGGTTTGGGGAGTCACTTGGTGGTGTGGGCTGGCGTGGGCGGTGATTTTCCGGCCGACGGTGAGTTTTTTGGTGGAGGAAAGGGGAGCCAAATGGGGAAGAAGAAAAAAAGTGTGTATTTAAAGTGTTTTAGATTAGCAACGAACGCGATTTCGTCACTAATTAGCGACTAAATTGACAATTCGTTGCTAATTTGAAACCAAAAGGTGCTAGAAGTTTCTCGATTTATCTATAAAAGTGTCAAAATAGCATTGGATTGTCAAATCTATCGCTAGTTTAAAATTCAAATTAGCAACTGAACTAATTCTCGTTGCTAATTTGAACCGATTTATGAGGAATTTTCCCATAAAATTTTCAAAATAGCAACAAATTTTCAAATTCCTCGCTATTTTAAAATTCAAATTTATGGAACAAATTTCATCACCAATTTAAACTGATTTCACTAGATATTCCCAAAAAAATCACCAACATAACGATGAATTTGAAAATCCATTGTTATTTTGGGTTCAAAATTAGTGACGGATCACTAGTCCGTTGCTAACTTTGAACCCGAAAGGAAACCCATTATCTTTTATTCGGTGAGAGAATAAATTCATCTCTATTTACCAACCGATAGCGACGGATCCGCTTCTATTGGCAAATCATCGACGAAAATCCATCGCTGAACGTGGCACTTATTTTTACCGCATTATTTTGCGACTAAATTAAATCCGTCGCTGAATTTTCCTCACTATTCCATTGCTAATCACTCGTAAAATTCACCTTTCTCTAATCCGTCGCTAATCCCTCGGTAATTTGTCTCTAATTAGAGATCGATTATTATCCACCGCTAATATCCATCACTAATTACCAATTTTCTTGTAGTGATAGCTATATGTGTAAGGTGATGAGGTTGTCACCTTCATATAATTATTAAAAATTAGATAGCTTCTAATCCAAATTAATATTGTGGTTGATATAGTTTGTGAAAAATTGATTCTTCGGCATGTACCCGCAAAATAAATTCTCCTCCAATGTTTGAAGAATCCTCCGATGACAAGTTAGTGTACAAAGAGAAATTTTTAGTCCGATTAAAATCAATTAATAATATTTCTCTATTCGTTAAAAGAAGATATATGCTCGCTATATCACTTTATAGCTTAAGAGGCAGAATAAGTACCACTTGGGTGTTAACTTTTTTATAGTAAAGAAGATAATCAACTTGCATAAGATAGAGTATAGGTTGGTTTTTTTTTCAATTATGTATAATAACTTCTAACATTCACTTGTCAGCTTAGGACTTAAGGCAAAAGCTTTGGATTATCAATGTATGTGCAATCTTGTCTGGTGATGACATGATGGTTGTTCCTTCAAGACTTTTACAACCCTAGGTAATCCCAAATTTCAATCTTTACTAACTCAACAAATAAAATAAAATAATAAAAGTCCAATAATATTTGATGATAGAGTCCAGCACCCTAAAGAAAAGTAGTAGAACTTACGGGATACGCATGTCAAATAGCCTATGAATACAAATAACACCATCACAAAAAGCTTGAATGCAATGATCAGAAACTCACCTTAGTTAATTACTCTAAAGTTATAATTGTCACGCCCTAGTCCAAGAAAACACAAAACAGAGAAAATTCTCAAATGTTATTCAATATATTCAGCAAAACTTAATACAGAAGTAGCAAAAAATTTTGCTTAAATACTAGCTGCTAAAACCCCTATTTAAAGTCCAAACAGGAAAGAGAGGGGGAAAAAAAAGGCAAACTCTAAAGAAAAAATTTAAAGTAAACTTCCGAAACTCGTTTGGACTTAATAACTTAAACTCCCAATCTAACTTAATAAGAACTAATTAATCTAGTCCATATTAAATGTCAACTTCCTGAATAATTATAGATTTCTATTTAATTATGAATACACATAAAAATGGACTCCTAAATACGATAAAGATTGACTCCTAATTAAATATAGACTCAAACCAACTAAAAACTAAAATAAAATCATGTTACAATAAGGAATCCAGGTTAAATAAACTAAATAAATAAAGACTCAAATTTTCGGCCCAAAATAATTTAGATTGAAATTCTCGATCTTGAATCCTTGTGGACACTCCGCTGTCACTCATTGTTCGTGTAATATCAAGAAACCTCTACAGACTTTGTGTGTCCTCAACCAGCAGCAGCAGTAGTAGCAACATGTTTCTTCTAAAGCTGTAAGTCTTCCCTCTTCCCATATCTTTCTTTATGAGTAGCTCACCAGTTCTCCCTCAACAGAACGCACGTCCATTTTGCGTGTTTGTTTTCTACCACAGCAACAGCTTTAGCACGTTCAACATCTTTCTTGTCAGTAGCTTCATGCATATAAGTTGTTTCGAAGTTAGTCCTATATGGCAGCGTGTCAGAACCAAAAGCGATTCCCAAGCCCCCTGCTACGTGATTGAATCCAACTCTCCTCCTAGTCTTGCATCTTTTATAATCAGGAAATTCAGGATGGTAATCTGTGACAACCCCAACAATTGGCTTGATAACATGTAATTCAATCACCTTTCCAACAACACTTCTCAATTTAGCAAAAACTTCTACCTTGTTGGAACTCATGTAAAATATCCAAACTTGAACCATTATTGGACAACCTTTCCATTAGTCATGATAATAGTGTCTTAATGTCAATTGTTTTTTGAAATTTGGGGCAGTAAGATTATGCAAGTGGTACTCTTCTAGACAAATTTGTATGATGCAATCTTTTAAATAATACTGTGCAAACTCATCGTTTCTGTTGACATCCTACTCTAGAATTCTAGGAAGAATTTGATTAAGAACTTGGAGATTCTGCCCTATAAGATGGCTAATGTAGCACTCACGAATAAGGCATGTAATACTGTCCCTTTTGTGTGCTTATACACTCGGCTATGTAGGTGTTCAAAAGTCAACAGTGCTTCGGTCTCTACGTGTTTGGACAATAGAGTGATGTCCAAAACATCCTGCTTCTCTCCGTCCAAAACATCAATTCCTCAACGCATTAGTGTCTCGTCGGTTTTTAGCAAGAATTTATTACATTACCTCCCCGTTATCATGCTGAATTTTTACTTCAAGTTTGCTATTATCATTACCCTCTTGCTAACTCTTCAATGGCAGCAGCAATGTTAGTTTTGTTGTCGAAAAGTTTGACTTCTATGGCACTGTCAAAGTTAGCATAACCTTCTTTTATTTTCTCAATCGAATTAATTACTATCTTCGTTAAGGCTACCGTCATCAAACTCTAAACTTACAACCTAGTCAACTATCTCACTGCGATCCTCATCAAATCTTGAAAGTTGATTCCAATACACAAAAGAACTAGAACTAGAAGCATCAACAATCTCAACATCCTCTACAAAAATTTCAGCTTTCAAATCGTTATTTTGTTGCTATACTCTTTCATTACTAATTTTGGGATGGAAGGGATTGTCTCCTTGAACCTCATTTTGACGTGGACCAACGGGCTTTGAAATTTCATGGAACGGTATGAGTGCAGCAAAAACTGAATAAAAATGTTGGCCCAATTTTAAGGTCTTTTGAATCTAGTTTGATGCCAAACGGAACAACAACCAAACCACATTGGCTTTGCCTATGATGTAGAGGTGATTTTGGCAAAAAAAACGTCGTTTACACCCTCAAAATCAGCTTTTACTATTTTTTGGGATTTTTCCTTGATATTGTTGGATTTTTAGCATCCGTTTTCTTTTTGAATTGCTTTAGGGTTTTAGCTAAAATTTACTATTTATGTATGACTTTGAGGTAGAAAAACGTCACTTTTCTTGATGAATAAAGTTTTATGAGAGAGCATCTCGCTTTTATCCCAATTTTTGACATTCTTTGGAAAAACAAAATTGAAGCCTATTTTCCGATATTTATGCATAATTCAACGAGTTATAGTATATCGGCATCCGAATTTTAAATCATCGGTAATTATCTTCCTTATAGTGAGTTTTCATTACATCACAGACTCCTTCAACATGAGACTTATTGTCATAACCCAATTTTTCCTTTAAAGGAAAAAATCAAAAAAGGAAAAAAAGAATAATAAAACAAAAAACAAAAAAAAAACAAAAAAGGAAAAAATATAAAATCTCCAAAAAATCTGTTGAAATCTTCCACCGATCTTTTTTAATTAGAATCTCCTTATTTTTAGCTAGAAAAATCTCAAATTTAAGATTCGATAATTAAAATTTGATTTGATTTTGGGAGAAATTTTAGGATGTTTTCGGCCTATAAAAAGCTTTCGGATTTCAATTTGCGAAAAGAGGAGAGGGGGAAAAAAAGAAGAAAAAACGCAGCAAAAAAAAACAAAACAAAAAAAAATACCGAAAACCTAAAAAGAGGAAGGCAAACACGTCCTAACCCATCAAACCAGACCCGATTACCCGTTAACCCATCCGAAAACTTTGAGCCTCAATTGATCGTTTTCCGATCAGATTTTGACCCCGATCAACACACCCACGTGTAGACCATCACTAGATCGACCGATCCATACCCATTAAAGAGAGAAAAACCCACGAAGGAGAGAGAAATTGAAGTTTAAACCACCACGACCCGACCCGAAAACGATACCCGATCGTTTCTCTCAACTCCGGTCACCAACACAAGATCCATCACCACGGACATGATCGCCCATCTCCTCCGAGTAATTCCATTTAAACATCTCGACCCAACGACACCGAAAACCGTTTAATTGACCCCGACCCGTTTTCGACCCGTTTTGGTAAACCCGACCAAATTGGCCGATCTAGGAATAATTGGAGGTCATAACCACCACAGAACTTCTTCTCACGACCGTGCGAGTCGACCGGTGGGTTTGGAATCCCGATAGGAGGTCGAATTCATCGCCGGTGAAGAAGGGAGATCCGACCGAACCTTCGGAGGCTCCGATCTCCCTCCTCCGGCGTCTTCTCCGGTTGGAACCACCACCATTGGAGTCGCAATGGCCGGATCTACAAGGCTGGGTGGTCCACGCGCCGAAGCGAGCACCGAAAGACGAACGGTCGCTTGGCGATGACTCTTGGTATTCCAGGGGCATTTTGGTAATTTTACAGTGTATGTGAATTTTGGACTCTTTTTTTTTATATGTGTTTTGTAATAATTTTTTTTTGTCTTATGCATGTTCGAAAATCCAAAGCTATTTAGTTGTGGAATTTATTCTAATATGTGATTTTTTTTTATGTGATTAAAATATTGGATCAACGAGTCTCCTATTTATTAGGGATGGACGGTGATTTTAATACATTTAATTTCTAGTTAATTTTAGTTAGTTAAAATCTTAGTTTTTTTTTATTATTATTATTAAGAAAATAAAAAAAACTAGACAAAATATATATCAAAATTTTCGACGAAGCCTCCTATTTGATAGGGGCGACGTCACCAAAAATCACATTTTAATTAAGACGTCCTTCGACACGCCGGTTGTGTTAAGGCTTAAAGTGGATCCGATGTTTGAATCGACGTGTCGCCCGACGAAGGGGACCGACGATCGTTTCAATACGATGCCACGCTCAAAACTAAAAAAATTCAATTTGTTTAAAAAATGAGAGATTAAGAGTCGAAAAATAATTTGACATTTTAGGAGATAAATTTAGAGCTAAAACCGGACGTGGTACCTTTCTTCGGAAAGGGCACTTTTGGGTGATCGACATCTTCCCAAAAGCGTAACCAACCCCTTACCATAGAATCTCCGAACCAGTTGTCCGTTTTAGGTTCCTAGTTCCTTCAATACTAAGTGGCGACTCCAAAATCTATAAATAAACTTGTAAATATTCAATCTAAATTTTAGATATTTTCGAGGAGTCTCGTCCGACGTCGGGTAGCGATAGAATGGCGACTCCACCGGGGACTAGAGTTAGGCCATAGGTTTAGTTTTTAATTTATCTCTTACGTTTATTTTTGTCAATTTATTTTCTGAGTTTTATTTATTTATTGATTTGTTTGTGTATATATGTAAATTTTTATCATTTATTTTTCTTTTCGCTACACGTTTATTTTGAATTGGGTTGAATGCTTTTTCTTTTAACCGTTGCACACACCATGAAGGAAAACCCTAAAAGCTCCGGACCCGAGCTGAACCCTAATAGGAATTAGATAGAGTGATTTGGAGGCGAGTATGACGAAAGTCTATCGATGCTCTTCCAAACTCTCGTTTAGACCGAAACTCACCCTATACATTGGAAATTGTGGAATAACCTTCCTCTACCTCCTAACGTATAAGGTTAGAGGCTGGATTACCCCACTTGGTAATTTAGGCAATCTAGAGGCTTGAAAATCTTTAGGACTAGTCAAGCTTTGCCCAACCATAGAAAAGCTAGATCTTGTCTATTAGTGGTTGACCCGATTAAGACACGAATCATTATCAAATGATGTCGATATCGACCCTTGGTATTCCAAGGGTATTTTTATAATTTTTTAGTGAAGGTTATCCTTCGTGTTAAATCATGATCGAAGAAGTCGAAATGAGGTCGAGGATTTTAGATCGATTGGAGCGAGCCCAAAATGATGAAGGAGATTGTCCGCCTTTAAATTTCATGTCGAGACTGCGAAAAAGTTTCACCCTTCGCAGTGCTTATAATAAGAGTAGTTTCATCATTCCAAAATCAAGTCACGACTGAAATTGAGGACATACATATCTCCCTAATCGCCCAAGTATCCGTGGGGTAATTTTACCCTCGCCGAGTACTAGCTTAATCCGATCTATCTTCGACAAGATTCTATCATGATTTAATATGCAACAAATAAAAGAAAAGTATCCAACCCGAGTTCAAAATCATGCATTTGCATTAAGTATTTATTTGTATATATTTCTTTTGCATTACCAAGTGAAGTAAACATAGGCCGCTCCACTCAATCCCCTCCGCGCATCTACAACACTCGACTTCGGGCTCGCCAAATGGAGAATGAGGAAAGACCGCGACAAGAGCCAATTAGCCAGCAAGAGTTTGACTCGTTGAAAGAAAGTGTGGCTCGAATGACTTCCCTGTTAGAGCAAGCATTAAGAGGGGAAGGTAGCTTTAATCAAGGACAACCTAAAGTACAGCAAGTCGTTCCATCACCTCATCGGTCGGGGCCTTCCAATCATGTAACTTTTCGGGCCGAAGGTTCACATCCTACTCGGGACATTTGCTTACCCCATGGACCCAAGAGTCCCACAAATGCCTTCGGCAGATCCTGTAGAAGAGGAAGCTCATGGTCCTAGGGCGATTGAAGGCCCAAGCATGGACATACTCATGGCATTAGAAGAACGCTTAAGAGCAATGGAGGGGAGGACACCTACGATCCGATTAAGGCCTCCGAAATGTGTTTGGTGCCCGATGTAGTGATCCCGAGGAAGTTTAAGGTGCCGATTTTGCTAAATATACCGGAACCCAGATGTCCTATGACCCACTTAAGGGTATATTGTAGCAAGATGGCAGATGTTGTTCACGATGAAAAACTACTTTTACATTTCTTTCATGAGAGCTTAAGCGGATCGGCATTGAGTTGGTATATGAGGTTAGAGGGGTCCAAGATCGGAGGATGGAAAGATCTAGCCGATGCTTTTCTCAAGCAATACAAGTTTAACATGGAAGTGGCTCCGAATCGTTTAGATCTTCAAAGTA